TAGCTTTCAAGTAGCTCTAAAAAATAGTAGGAAAGACAGACATTGAGACAATTAACTCTAAGACAAGTCAGGGGAAAAAAAATAAACACTCAATGGGAGACATTCACTCAATATCATCCGACACATGAGAAAGGTCATGCACCCTTGAGCGGTGGTCAAAATTGAGCTGCAAAGGCTTTGGATTGAATGGCTGGATTTTTCTCAGACCCTTTAAAGAATATCCTACACCCAATGAAGCTACAGTCAGAGGCTGGGAATAGCTGAATGAGACAATGTGCAGCTGGACTGAAATCTGCTGTGTGAAATGGACTAACCTGAGCACAGCAAAGAGAACAAGTTTCTGCCCCCAAACTCTTGGAAATTCAGCCCATTGAATCTTTGGTTATATTTAATTTTGCTGCGATTTTATATATGCAGGCAGAGAGAATCAAAATAATCTAGAGGAAATAACAAATACATTCATTAGCATTTCTAAATAAATTTTGCTGAGCTATAATCTCAATCTGTCAATATTCTAGATATGTTGAAAGGATAATTTAGCAACTAAAGGAAATGCTCATTAACAATCAATCTGAAAAGATAGACCATTCTCAGAACTCTTACATATACAGATGGCACACTTGCAGTGAGATCACAATAAAATGCTAAATATGCCGGTTTGTCTATGATCATTGAGAAAATAATAGAATGTTTCTCTTCATGGGATTCTGACTTCCAAAATCACCCCCCATGCAGACCTATGTATCATTCAGGCACTTAGGTAGCTTTCACAGAAACAGATGGCAATAATAGATAAATCTGGGTATCAAACACACACTGGTAAAACTATAAGTCTGCTGTGAAAATTAAAATCTAGGCAAAGTAAGTAAATAATAAAAAGATTACTAAGTTCCCAATGACAGTCAAAATAAACCACAGAAAACTCTAAGTTCTAAGCAAAAACCACAAAACAAGTGAGGGAAAAATGTCTCCATATCTAATAACCTTTCAATCAAAGATTATTTCCCACGAACAGGGTGGAGCCTGAGATGTTCAGGTCCCCAGCATAGAACGCATGTCATAGGGGCCACATGTAACTCAAGCCCCACATCTTGGTGTTGTCTACTCATTAACCTAAAGCAGCTGATGGAGCAGTAGTTATCAGAGCAGATTATCTCCAATAAATGAAAAAATTGTCCTTTCCTACATATTTTTAGTATCCAAGAATCTAAGAATTGGGGTAGATTTTAACTTCTTCATCCATCAAACACATTAAAACATATTTGCAGATTGCTTAAATTTCTCAAAATCTAAGCAAATTAAGTCCATGAGCAAAGAAAGTCCCTTATGTGTTTACTCCCTCTTATGTACTTATTTTTAACATTAAGTGCTGTGCAAAAGTACATAGACAAAGAACAAAGACTTGTCAACACGATCCGTACCCCAACCTCTGAGTAAGCCATTAGCAGTGTGGAAGTCACTCCACTGAGGCTCTTGGTCTCTGGCAAGATGGTGGCCAAAGTCCTTCTAGATTCACTAAATATTGTGGGTAAATATTTGAGACCTAATTTTTACCAATAGCCTGGTGCTGGAGACCCTATAAGAAATGTGAAGAGAACCTATGATTTCTGTTCCAGTTTTATCTAAATGTCTTACCTAGATCGCTGGTAAACAAGTCTGCCCTAACATGTTTATCTTCAGGCTAAGATATCATCTTCTTCGTGGTTGAAATTGGTGTATATATTAAATAATGTCTTGTTTGAACAATTTGCTCCCACAGTAAAACAAGCATTGAGGCAGATGTGCTCCAAGATACAAACAGACTGGGAAATGTGCTTTTGGACATCTGGATAACTTCCAGTTTTGTGGCTCAGGATACCATCCAAGATTTTGGAAGGAGAAGTCCAGAATTTCTGCTTGCTGGTGACGTTACTCCTGAAACAAACACATATACAAGTAATAACTAATCTTTTTTTATTGCAAATAAGCAGTGTATTTATGGGGTCTGGACTGAGCTCCCCACCACACCCCATAGCACCCTGCAGAGGCCACCGTCAGTGTCATAGCCCCCCTCCCTGGTGGTTTTCAAGATAAGCTTCCTGAGCTTGACCTTTCTCCACCCAGACTCACATCCATCTCGTGGCATCTGCATTCTCCGACAGTCCTGGATGTGGCCCCGTGAGTGCATGACTTTCCCTTCAGGCTGGCCTCTTCTCTACAGTCTTCCTGGTCTCCTTTGCTCTGTGTGGACTTCATGGGTGAGTATTTCCCTAGAGCCTTCTCCTTGTTTCCCCTTTTTGCTGTGGTCACACAGGCCTCATAGAGGACTCTCAGCTCTTCTCCCCTCCCACCCACACACTGGAGATCTCCAAATATCCGTCGTCATGTCCAAATTCTATGTCTCCAGTTGCTTCTAGAAATATCCATCTAGAATTCTGAAAGGACTACATTCCCAACAGTTCTAACACTTAGTGCTATCAGCCTCCTTCCTTTGGCTCACCTCCCCACTGATACACACTCTGACATTTCTTATTCTGGTTAATGAAGACGTTTTCTGGACAAGGAGGTCTACTCAGAGGCTGAAGTTTGAAATTGTGAAAACTGGAGGTGTCTTTTATTTGTAGCTGAATCCTCACCATGACATGGCAAGAGCAGAGAATCAATAAATGCCTTTTGAAAGGGTAACAAGTGAATCTTATAATGAAAGTCTTCAAAGCAAAAACGACATTCAAAACCAGAACAAAAAGGGGAAAATGTGATCATTGAAACAAAAAATAATAAGCCAGTTTTTGCTCTTCTGTTTTGAGAAAATGGAAAATAAAAATGTGTTTCTATGTGATATTGAGCTTGAAGGGAGTACCACTAAGACCTGGCAGCAACAGGCACTCAATACACACGTGTATAGTGGCTTCGTAATCAGCTCACAGCTAAGAAGCTACAATTTTACACTCTAACCCAGGAGCTGAATGGCTAGCATCTTGAGGCCTTCTGGCATTTGTTAACTGATCAGTCATATAGCAGCAATGAAAAGAACAAAGCCTCTGTACTCAAAAGATTCAGCAATGAATACTTATGACCTTGTAGAGGTGGATGCATGCACTGGTTCTGACTCTGACTCCAAGACCTTGGAAAAGCTATTTGCCTTCCTTCATTTGTGAGTTTGATTATTTATATCTTGCATGTGCTCATCCATCTCAGAAAAGTTCAGATGCGTTCCTGGAAACTGCCACACCATAAACACACAGACATGGGGCAAAAACAGATTTCAAATCCCTCCTTAGAAGCAGAATCCCTGGGCATGGACGAAGCACCTGCGTGGCTACCCAGCTCTCTGGGTTAATCTGATACACAGAAGCCAAACATTTATGGACCAGTGCTTCAGTTGATGGCAGCATTACATGCCCTACAATCATCTGTTGTTTAAAGTGCTTTCAAACACATTCATTTTGTCCCATTCTTTAAAGCAGGCAGCCACCAATGCATTCAGTTATTAACCCAGCGATGACTGAGCAGCACGGGTTGCTGGTGCAGGGAGGGAATGGAAAGGAAGTCTGGACATTGCTTCATCTGCCACGGAATATCCAGTTTATATGAGAGGCCTTACTCCAATACTAGCTTGAATAAGTCTAAAATCACACCATGCCGTGTGCAAAAAAAGGAAAGAGATCCCGTCACACTGAAATACCCATCCGGGCTCTATTGGCAGGAAACTGGATCCGAAGATGGACGTTCACCTTCATGCAGCCCTCATCAGCCACCACCCACAATAATCAAAAGACACATTTGTTCTGCAGCGAGGATACTGCCCCCTGTGTGACCGTTCTTATCAAATCCTGGCCTGAATGTGTGCAGACACGGAGGACAGAGGTCCCCGCAGAGAGCACATATGTCGTCGACCTGAACCGCTACAGTCTGGGAATGAAGAGTCACAAGGATACTCCAAGCCAGCTGCAGAACTGTGGCAGGGCCCGGGGTGGAGGCAAACAGGAGGGCAGACAGCCTATCACCACAGAGAGCCACAGAAATAGAACACTTTCAACACTCCCATTAGTCACTGTTAAATGTGCCCTTCTTAGGAAATTTGAAAGGATAAAAGTTTCTACTCTTTAAATTGTATAACCCAGAAATTCCACTCTTAAGAACTAAATTTCCAAGCATATGCTAAAAAATGGGTAATTTTTTCTTATTTTGAAATGTTATTTATAATTTTTAAAAATCAGAAACAAATGTCTTAACACTAAAAGAATATTTAAATAAACATGGTCAACCCATAAACTTGAAAGCATGCAGTCATTTAAAATTATAGGGCTTTATTTTAAACAAAATAACATGCTCACCATGTAAGACTAAATGAAAAATATACATAAATGGCTTGATCTGCTCTTTACAAGCACAACAGCCCTGTGTGTGTGTGTGTGTGTGTGTGTGTGTGTGTGTGTGTGTGTGTGTATACCTCTGCCTGTTGTAGTTATGTACAGGTATATACAAAGAAACTTGCAAACATACAAACAAGGATTAAATTGCCTTTAATTTTATCCCATTTTCCCCTACCACTCTGAAAAAATGCACATCATTTAAAAAGGAAAGAAATGAAAAACAATGGTAGGTGTTGAAAAAAAACAAGAAAAAACTTTCTTTAAAGAACCACATGCCTGGCTGTCCCAGAGGCTCAGGAGTTGGATAGAACATTACAGGATTTTCACAAATCAGCTGCAAGGATAAAATCAACCAAGAGTAATTCTCATGTGGGAAATGGACAGGAAGAGCCCAGAATCACCTGTTTTTGAAAAAAGGCAGAAGTTTCTTCTGGAAGCCTAGGAGCTTCTAAAGCTACTAGGTACCAGTAGTACTAAGTAAGTAGTACAGTACCACTAAGACACTCATCATAGATCAAGACTATTTAAAATCATGAAAAAATTCTACCTAAGTAAGTAATTTTAGGAAAAAAAGACCATAAAAATACAGGAATATCTTTGTGAGTAGAATAAGCCTGTTCCTTAAAAATCAAATCATATCTGGACCTGAGTCAGGATATACTTCTTTAAGAATTCGTCTTCTTCCTGTCCCCCGCTGTGTGCTCATTGACGTAACTCTCACTGCTGTCAGGGGTGCCCTCTTGGTGGGCAGTGCTGCGCTGGGTGCGAGTGTTAGCCACACTGCCTTACATGAGGCCCACACCCGAGACCGTGCCATCAGGAAACTGCAGCATAATAAGATCCTGGATTCATCACAGAGGTCCCTCAGGAAGCCTGTGGGTGGTGACAAGTGAGTGTCCCAGCTTGCCTGGAGTGACGCAGCGCACTTTCACATCAGTCTCTGGAGCCCATGGGCCCAGTGGGGAGACACACAGGCTGCCCTCCAGCTGGTGGCCATCTGCCTACGTGACAATGGCCAGATGGGGAGAAAACTCTGAAAGGGGGATCAAACATTAAATAAAAGAAGACTTCTTGGAAAGCAGCACTGACATCGATTATTCATAGGATTTTATAATGTCTTGGAAGTTTTCACTTGAAGTATTTTAGGAGGAATAAAAAAAAAAAAAAGAAAAGAAAAGACAGATAAAAAATTCTTGGATGACGGTCTAGAGTGGCAGACATGAAATGCTTGGGCTTCCTGCAGCAAGCATGCTGAATTGATTTATAAATGTACTTGCTGTTCCAGTCAAACTCCAAACTCAGACAGATCAAAGAATCAATCAATACAGTGCCCTGCCTCCTGCCATCGGAGGGGTTCACGTGGACGCTCCCTAAGGGCATTCCCAGTCGCTCTGGGTGGAACCCCAGAGCCGCTGCCCTGAGAACCTCTTACCAGTGGGATGTCCCTTTGCACCCTGAACATGGAGAGGATGGAATGACTGAGCTTTCCCAACCCTCCCAGTTTTGACGGGAAGAACAGCAGGTCACAAAATGACCAGAACAAATAAAAACTCACTTCTTACCACATTTTTCTTACCCCAGTTAGAATTGCTTAAAAAAAGGTTTTGGTTTTGGTTTTTGCTTTGCCGTATCAGCATGCCTTTCTATATAATGTAAGATTTTTAAGTTCAAGCAAATTCTGGGCTCAACAAAAGTTTTTAAAAAGTTAGAATAATGGTACAGACTATATGTGCTATTTATTTAAAAAAGGAAAATAGTAATTAAGAGTTCAGAAGATTAAATTAGGAGGATAAACAGATTTAACTTTTCTTGAAAGAAGTTTGATTCCTGGATAAAAGAAAGTTTATAAAAAAAAAAAGACTTTTTCTTTAAACCATTATCCATCTTCCTAAATAAATCCAGATCAAACCCATAATATGCACTTGGACTTAAAATGGAGCCAAGGATAGTAGAGAGTTACAGGAATTAACTGACAGCCAGGGACACTCAAGACTTCTGGCCTTGGACTTGCTTCCCAGCAGAACCTGGAAAATGGGACTCAGACTGGAGGGCGTATTTCTAGGATGAGGGCTCAGAAAGTCAGCTGCTCAGTGGCTTGTCTTCTGCACAGATGTCGGTTGCCACAGTGGTTTGGGGACATGGTTTTCTTTTCTCACTTTAATAACGAAGCCCTGGTTCTATCAAAGCAGAAACTTTATCTACACTGGCAGTTTGGAGGTGGAAATCTCTAACAAAAACTGACAAATGCAAACCCTCTAATTTTACATTTTCTCAAGTATTTGATTTGGCTTCAACATAATTGCTAAAAGATGGTGTAAGTTATTTTAATATATTAACATTTTTATAATTCAAACTTACATAACTCCTATGTTTATTTGTTGTATGGTTTCTTGTCTTTTCTAGTGTTTTTATTACGGAAATCCACATTCACACACACCCCAACATGATACAAAACCACCAGTGTTTATGTGGAGATTTTTTTAAAAAAAGAATTAAATTTGAACATGAACGTTTTTCTAAGTTTAAAATTTCACCAGGAAAAAAAAAATAGTTCAATATAGGCTCAATGTTCAATTACCAGATTTATTTCTAAGAAAATAATGGATATGAGAAGACCTGGGAATCTCATACAATTCCTTCTGAAACATAACTATCCATCTCCTGTGAGGTGCAAGGAATCTGGATTGGAAGCATATACAGTGGTCTGTGTGTCGTTGCAAAGCTCAGAAGTATGTCAAGTAGAAAAGATAGGGAGAAGTAACTTCATAGATGGCTGGTTCTGTTGCTTTTATACATATATCATGTTGCATAGACACGGGTTGCGCAGAATTGAACATTGAACAAAAAAGTGCATTCTACAGCCCAGACATAGATACCAATTCTTATGTTAGAGGGCAAAACAAAGAAGCAATGTCTCTGTGTCCCATGGAGTTATTGCTAAGATGACTACATGAAAGAAAGAGTGACTGATCCAACAGTTTCTCAACCCTCAAACAACACACAGGGGATTCCACATTTGTCTAAGCTGGTTAACTAAGAAGTATTGAAAGTTGATGTCTGTCTTGCTCTTTTGCCCAGTACTCTTGGGAAATCCAATTTCTGCACTGGAAAAAGAAGAAGGAAGAAAGGAAGGAAGGCAGGGAGGGAGGGAGGGAGAGAGTGAAGGAGGGAAGGAAGAAAATCCACCCAGAATATACAAATCTGGATGCAATGTCCCAAGTCAGCACAGAGCAATACAGTTTTGCAGCTCTGGTAAACTACTCCCGTGGGCTATGTGTGTCGACATTAGCTATTCTTACCTCACTTTGGGTAATTTAGTGACTGTTATTTTGCCAGTTTTCTTGTGGCATGTCACATTTTCTGATGTGCTATGCTTTAGAGAAATATTTCCTATTTTGTAGCCAAAATTTTTAGCATTCAGAAAATAGTGTCAAGTTTCTGGTGAATTTTCTGATGCGGAGATTGGCTTTTATTTTGTACTACAGACACTGAGAATCCCGAGTGAATATAGATAATGCAGCATGGTTCACTCTTTTGACTATTTCTCTCCAGGTTTTCAGACACAGATATGGTTTCCAGGGTGCCCCCCTCCCTCCACATCAGAGCTCTTTTAAATCCGTTGCAGAGTGTAGACTTGGGTATCAGGGGATAAACAATTGTTAGGCATCCTCTGTGCCACTTACTTCACTGGATGATTTGAATCAAGAAAGCCCATGTCTCTAGTCCCAGTTTCCTTATCTGAAAAATGGGGATCAAGTGAGATAACTCATGCCAAGTGCCTAGAGCAATGTCTGGCTCATTAAATGCTTCCTACCAAACGTAACACTGACATGGCCTGATCAGAACCTATGCCGTCAGTCTGGGGTCTCACTAAATTCCATATGAGCCACAGTTAGCATGCAGGCAAGGCTACAGCACAGTGGGTGAGCAGGTCCTCTCCACGCCTCTGCAGAATCATCCAGCAGGGAGTGGGAGCAGTGGTGACAAGAAACAACATGACCAGTGCAGGTGGCCTCTGTCCCTAGGGAGTGTTAAGGGGCTTGTAACACATGGCAAAAAAACCAATTATTTCCTTACACTCTGGGAAAAAAAAAAAAAAACTACTTCCTTGCAGCAGTGCCCAACTGAATATCACAAAGAGGTATATTTAAAATTGGAAAGATGGTTATCATCAGTAATGATCCTGTCCTCCTCACTGCCACTGGGTACATACAGCTTTGGGGAAAACAACCTGCTGAAAATCTAAAAGTTCCCACCCCCAGGTTAGTAGAGAAGGTCTTCCAGTGCTGACCATGACAAGTTTTCAGTACATCCCTATAATTTTTTTCCTTTCTCCCAGCCATTGTCACAGCAGGAATCCCCTGATGGAGAATAAGCTGTACTTGGAGAGGTCTCCACCAGGGGTTCAGCTGTGCAATGGACCAAGTGCCAACCCCTGGCAGAAGAAGGGCAGAAACAAAACACATGGACTTAAGTGCTGGCTGTGCAGGGCCCAGGGGCACAGCCTGAGACCAAGCAACTCCAGCGGCTGAGGCAGGAGGATGGCGAGTTCAAAGGACAGCCTCAGCCACTTGTGCAAGAACCTCAGCAACTTCATGGGATTCTGTCTCAAAATAAAAAAATAAATAAATAAAAAGGACTGGGGATGTAGCTCAGTGGTTAAATGCCTCTGGGTTCAATCCTCGGTACCAAAAAAATGAAAACATAAATGTTGGAGATACACAAGATTCCAATACACAAGAAGAAATACACCAAGCCATCAATAAAATGTCAATAGAGTTAAAGCACATATGTTTTCAAATTTTTGAGGCCCAAATAAAAATAAACATAGACAAGATTCATTAATAATCTAGAAAAAAATCATTGCTATTTTTAATACACCAAAAGTTTTTTTAAACCATTAAGAAAAAAATACCATAGAAAAAAATACCATTTTTTTTTAATGTTCCAGAACTTTTATTTCTTTATATTTATTTATGTGGAGATAAGGATTGAACCCAGTGCCTCACACGTGCTAGGCAAGTGCTCTACCACTGAGCTACAGCCTTGGCCTCTTTTAAAAGGCATTCAGCTATTTAAAAAAAAAAAGAGAGAGAGAGAGAGATGCAAATAGCCAATAAATATATCAGAAAAAAATCTAAGCACCTATATTTGATGTGTCAAAAAAGTAAAAATGAAATAGTACTTCTTTTGCTACTAGATAGAAAATAGTTAAAATGTCAGAAATCATTAAGTATGAGGAAGAATATACCAGAATAAATGAGAATAATAAATTGCTCAACCTTCCTGAAAGTTGATCTTACTGTGAACAAAGTTTTTAATATATACAATCTGATTTTTTAAAATCTGAAAGTTTCTTGAGGGCATATGCACAAAGATGTTCATTAGAGTGTATACTAAATGAAGACAATATTCAAGTATAGCATTAAGCAACTGGTTAAAAATATTTACTATGTCTATTTAAATTTTCTTTCTAGTATATATTCATTTAAATTAAAATGTCAATTGTTAATAGAAAATAAAGCTACAAAATAATCAGGAATTTAATACTGCCATTTACCTAAAAAATATGGCCACACAAGATATTTAGATTAATGAGTGCCAAAGATGTGGTTATTTTAGAAAGGTAGAATTTCGAATGATACCTAATTTACTTTAAAAGGAATGTTCTATGTTGTTCAAAATGGTGCTAGTTTAAAATAAACAAATTTACAGCTAGTTTTATTCTGGAACAAAAATCATACTACTCAACTGAAGCTGTTTTATTCCCAAAGGTCTGTTTGCAGCTAGAATGCAATACTCAGACAGAAAAAAAAAAA